TATAGGTGCGTTCGGGGAGCACGCTACCAACGCTACCGCGTTCTTCTATCTTTATTGCTCCTTAGATATACAACAAGGATAGAATGACACGATAGCGCTGGGAGCGTCCCGATTGACCACGGTACGATTGGACACAACCAACCGATGAAAAGAATTATCTAGTGAATTACTAGGTCGAACCAATCATTACAATCTGTGTCCAATCGTATCGTGGTCAATCTGGTCCCACCCGATAGCGCTGAGTAGCGCTAATAGCGGGCTCCCCGAACGCACCTATAGATAATAATTTATTAAATATTAAAATAATAGATAATAATTTATTAAATAATTATGAAAGAGAGAAATTTGTTAAATTAACCAATTATTTTTTTATATGTTTGTTATAATATAATCGATTATTAAAAATCGATATTCTTTACATAATCAGTTATTTAAATATCATTTTAATTACTTAGGACCGACGTCACAATCTCTGACTTAATCGACCAATTATTCCACTGAAATTGACCAATCGCACTTGTCGTTTGGCAGAATTGACCAATCACGCTTGACACTTAATCGGCCGAAGTTAAATGGAGATGCCTGGCCTTTAAAAATAAAAGAAAGAATTTCGAGTATTTTACTTTTCTATTGAATTGCTGGACACATACAAAAAAATGTATAATCTAGGCTATTATATGAAGAAGATTTTAACTTTCAGCTAAAAAATAAACCATTCCAATGATTTTCTTTAGGTGTTCTGATGTACGATGTACGATGAGTATGCATGATTTTCGGCTTATTGTTTGCAAAACATATTGACCAAGTAGTTGTGTCGACAGTGTAATTTGCCATCAAATTATGCGTTATCAGTTATACGTTATCAATTATACGTTATCAATTATACGTTATCAGTTATACGTTATCAGTTATATAAGGATGTAATAAGGATCACTTACAATAGTGTGGAAAGTTCTGCAAAGACAGCACAATAGAATATTAGAAAAAATTCTCTAATATTGCAAAAAATTGAAGATTGACGTATACAAGAAAAGAAGAAAATTTATATTACAATTAGCAACGTGCACGAACATAGCTAATTTTACTTTTAAGTTTGTCTTTTTGGACAAATATTAATATTTCTTTATAATTCTTGATTTTGTTAATTCCCAACAACTATGTGTACTTCTTTACAAAATCAGGTAAATTTTTAATTTTTGCATAATTGCGCGGTCATTTTACATTTGTAGCGTACGGATTTATTATGGATTCTTTTTACGATTTATAATTGAATAATTTGTATAAGAAATATTATAACCTATAGGATTCATAATTGAATAATTTGTATAAGAAATATTATAACCTATAGGAAACTTCATAAGAAATAAAATTCATTTTTGTATGTATATGTACTCGTATTTGTTTATATAATCTTAATTATTAGATAAATTATATCTATTAACTTTTTTATGGTTTCAAAATGCTTACCAATACAATATCAACTTTTTAAACTAGTTTAAACATACACTGGATATATATGTATATATACTAAATGAAATTATTTCTTAATTATGATAAAAATATTGATTACTGTCATTGTTTTAGGATAAAAAAAATCTTTATTATTATTTTATAAAATTTAATAATATTTTTTGTTAGAATTTGAAGTAGACAATAATTACTAATGTTTAATGTTTGGACACGATATACAGAATGATTCAAAATCAAAAAATATATTGGAGCTTATCAAGGAATTTTTCTGCCGTATTTTCAACTATGCGATTATACTACTGCATGTTTACTTCGACTACTTCGTAGACTTTGTCTTTGGCATATATTATGATAAGAAAATCAAGAAAGTACCACCAGTGAAAAATCCTCTACTGTTAGAAAGCAGTGTTTCCTTGGCAGAAAAAATTAGGTTGAGTTATTATTAACTTTGTAATATATCTTTTTCAAGCTCAAATTTAATTTGTGTTTAATTATAATATATGCATTTGGTCCTTAATATTTACTTATCTCATATTAGGACCAGGCAAGTTACATCAGAAGATGTTGTGAAAGCTTATATCAAGAGATGTAAGGAAGTGAACAGCTTGATTAATGCTATTGTAGAAGAAAGATATTTAGATGCAATCAATGAGGCCAAAGCAGTGGACATTATGATAGAAAAAGGCATAGATATAGAAGCGATAAAGTTAAAACAGCCATTCCTGGGAGTTCCCTTTACTACCAAGGAGAGCATCGAGGCTATAGGTAAATAGATAAAGTAGTAAACATAGTATCCTGAATTTTTCTTCTATTTTAAAATTCCTGAATACATTATGGAACAATTAAATATTTATTTAGAAACTTAGGGGAAAAACAAAATATGTTATACAATTTCATTGAACTGAATTAGTAATAGGGTCAATTGATGATTAATAATTGTTTCAATAGGAATGATTCATACCATGGGTATAGTCAGTCGCCGTAACTATCGTTCGATAAAGGATGCCACTGTAGTAGGTTACTTAAAGGATGCTGGTGGGATTCTAATCGCGAAAACCAATGTCCCAGAACTCAATTTGTGGGTGGAATCAAGAAACAAAGTATATGGACAAACAAATAATCCTTACAACACCACTAGGACTGTGGGAGGCAGCAGTGGAGGGGAAGGAGCTATAATTGCTGCGTGTGGTGCCCCAATCTCTATCTCTAGTGACATAGGAGGTTCCATTAGGATGCCTGCATTTTACAATGGGTTATTTGGTTTAAAACCCAGTGAAAGTCAGTGTTATTAAAAATTCTATTTACATATCTTGTTACTTGGACATAAATTACTTAATAAGACTTTAAAATTAATTATAAATAATAAAACAACTATCAATATCAACAGAATTAACTCCTATGACTGGAGTCGGATTGCGAGAAAAAGATTATCCGGACACTATGGCAACAGCTGGGCCAATCTGCAAAAAGGCCGAAGATCTGACGCCACATCTAAAAGTGCTGATTGGTGCTAATGTATCTATGTTAAAACTGGACGACCCGGTAAATTTAGAAAACTTGAAGGTGTTTTATCAAGAATATTGTAGCGATTTGAGGGTGAGCAAAGTAAACCAATCTATGCGGATGACATTGAAGAAAGCAGTAAGACACTTTAAGTCTCTTACAGGTTCTGCAACAATGGTAATATTCTATATGTCACTTTTATATATTTTATATAGATTGATATAAAAAAATGTCTAGAATTTATATGCATGTGTGTTTATTATAATATCGCAGATCAAAATACCAGGCTCTGAACACAGTTTTCAGTTGTGGAAGTATTGGATGACCTGTGAAAATTTCAATTTCAGGCTGGAAATAACAGGCCGAGAGGTAGGAATTAAATTTTGTCCTGAATGTCACGTCTCGTATGTCTCAGAACAATAATTAATACCAATTAGCAGTATTCATGTTTTATATCTAATACAGAGCTATTATTCTTTCTTAATGCTCTATTTCTACACTTACAAAAATTCACTTTGTAGTACATCACCAATGCAAAAAGAGAGCTTTACAAGTACATCACTGGATCTTCAGAAATAACATTTGCCGCTGTTGTGAAGTTAATGGATGAGGACTTTCTACCGAAGATCAGTGCAAAATGGGCAGAAAGTGTCACTGAGAAGGCGAAGAAATTCTTGGTGGTAATTATAACGGAGAATATCAAGTATATATAACAAGAGTATGTATATTGTTATAGAGATTTTTCATGTGACAATTTTTTTGCAGAACAAACTCGGTGACGATGGCGTGCTTTTGTATCCTTCGGCTCCTTTCCCAGCTTTTTATCATCATTCCAGTTATTTACGTCCCTTTAATTTTAGCTACTGGTGTCTATTTAATGTTCTACGATTCCCAGTTTGTCAGGTGCCGATGGGTTTGGATGAATACGGCTTACCAGTCGGTATACAGGTGAGGTTTCGCGTTTATACTGCATACGAAGATTTCAAAATTCGTAGCTATTTCTCCATATTTAACGCCGGACGTATAACTCTAAATTTTAAATTAACTTTAAATGTTTGTCTAACTCTAAATTTGATTGATCTTATTTATTTATCTTGTTGTGAATCATCGTCGTTGGAAATCTTTTTGAGTTATTTATGCAATTTATATTTCTCTCTGTAATTCAAGGTTGTAGCTGCTCCTTACAACGATCATCTGTGCATCGCGGTGGCTAAAGAGCTTGAGAAGGAGTTTGGAGGTTGGGTTCCTCCATCATAAACTGCAATTACAGCGACGTTCTTTTAACAAAGAGAATTGTAGCTTATAATTTTTATTTTTTGATAGTCTTTTAATCAGCATTTATAAATGAGACTAAGCGAATAGCAAAGCATTCGTGACATTTTCCATATGTGTAATGCGTTGTCTACAATGGCAGTAGGAGTAATAGTAGTAAGAAATAAGCAGTAAGCAAATTGACCAATTCTCATGATTCAACAATTATCGATTGTGATTGGTCCATTTACTTATTGCTTATTTCTTACTATTACTCCTACTGCCATTGTAGATGACATACAATATTAACCTTTAATCTGTGGTGATAGTAAGTAATTTTTATATACGTGGAATATTTTTTGTAACTTTATATTGTTATTTGCACTCAATCCTTTATAAAACGTCGGTGTATTACTTTGCTATTGAACATAGTTTATACAGCGGTGCTTGTATGATTAAATGTGATTTCAAACATGAAAAAATGGAAAAATTATTTTTAATATGATCTAGTAAAATTCGTGTAAATATTTCTTCTTCTTTGTTCTTAATTCCATGGTCTTATAAAGAATTAAATATAAAAACAATAAGAATTTAAAATTGGATCATGATACTTGATATTGATTGGTGGAGTCAATACGTGCATATAAATGTTTTAAAAGTCCCGCGCCGGTAAGTTATCTTTCGATAGATAGCAATTTCATTCCGGCTTTAACTCGACTTTTGGTCGCTAGATATCTCTACTAGTCGCGTCTTTGCAGCACCCGCTCCATTGTAAAAAAGAAAAATAACCGGTTTCAAATCTTGTGTACACACTGCGATTACGCACACCATGTTATTACCGGACAGCGTATGAAATAATCAATTTGATCTCACTGTTGTCACTCATTATCAACGGGAATTACAATAAGAGCGACAGTCAGCATGACAAAAGGTAACTTCTCAGAGAAAGGTACAGCGTTCGTGTTTTTCTTTCGTTCTTTGATAAACTTGAATGTATCGGCAGCAGAAATTCGAGAAGGACCATCTTCTCACACGCCACCCTGTGAGCGTGAGTGCTCCGATTCAGCAGCATCGTTAGCCGGCTGTACTACCTGCCACCGCGTGCGGCGCAGTAATTAATTAATAACAAGCGGAGAGTCGCTGGCACGCGTGCACGGACAACGGCCTCGACGCGTCTGTCTTTCGCAGTAAGTGCTCCTCCCGCGATAGGAGGGGAAGGGCGCCGCCTCCGCGCACAGGCCACAGCTCGGGCGATCCATCTCATCGCTCGATCACGCAGTGCCGCACCCGCGGCTCGTGCACGCGTCGTCGTGATCGCGCGTGTCCGGCCTGCTGATTCTGTTTTACTTTTACAACGACAGCGTTGTTATCGTCATGTTGTCGTTCCGCAGACGTGATACACGATAGAGAGGCTGCACGACAGACCATGCCAGTGACATCGTCGTTATAGAAGTCGAGAATCGGCCTGCAGGAGTTCGTCCGTCCGTCCCCGTGTGCGATGTCGCGGTGCCTGCGACGATGGACGATGAGGACGACAACAACGGCGGCGGCGCGCCGCCGTCCGCTGCCACGTGCCACATCCGTGTCGCGCACCGGCAAGTCGAGCCGCTTCGCGGCCGCGCCGAGCGGATCGCGAAACTGTTCGGCGTGAAGTTGCTGCTGCCGTCATCGCAGTCACCGTCCCCGCTGCTACCGACGAATCGAGCCGGCGGAGTGCGCGCGACCGAGACGCTGCTCCGGTGCTCTTCGCCGCGCGGTGGCGACTCGAATGCGAGTGAGCCGTTGCTCGTGCCGTTGCGGATCCTTTCCGGGTGCGCCGCCGACGAGGGAGGAGGGGGCAGCCAGGCAGATACGATGTGCGAGATCGCTGTCAGAGTCCAGGTGAGTCGAGTTCGCGATGATGTTACTTGTGCTCCCTTTTTCCTCCTCGTCTTCTCCTCCTACTGGCACGCCTGAGCGATCTTTCTTCTTCTTCTTCTTCTTCTTCTCCTCTTCTTCTCTTCTTCCGCCTGGCGACAAGCACGGTCAGCCATGGATGGGTCCGACACTTCGCTTCTGGCCACTCTGCTTTCGCGCTTTAGTTTTGGATTTGGAGATTCAGAAGAAGGATCCCTCTTTCAGATGTTCGAGTATGAGATTTGTTAGAATCTAATCTGTATTCGTGATGACGCGCGAGAGAGAAATAGATTGTTCATACTTTAATCCAAAATTTGGACCATTACTTATTCCCGTGTGTTACTTTTACAGATCGATGGTCGAAGCTGTAAAAGTATCGATAAGAAATGGTAGTAAGGTCGGTGCGCGACGATAGATCAATGACAGTCACGTGGGGGCCTGTCGTTGAACGCGCATTCGATCGGAGCCGAAGGAAATAATCGAGGAATTCCACGCTCCATGTGGCATTAGGCCGGTTCTCGCGTCGTATACCTGCCGTCTCCTATACCTACCTTTTAATTAAAAACATTCACGCGGCAACCTGTCTCTCGCACTCTGGAAATCCTACGAATTTCGAAAGCACAAGCGAAACGAGATACGTTGCAGAGATTTAACGTTCGAAATTGCAAATCTGAAAATTATTAAGTCGTAGGAAATTGCAGGGATTTTGCGTGTACTTCGGTGTGTATTTCGGGGCTTCAAGGATATTCCAAAACATTGAAATTTCTAACTAATTTATAGTTACTCTTTTCAAGTTTTTAATTCAGAATTAGATGAGAATTTTTCAGTTGAGTCGCAATTACAGATAATAAATGTCATATGTATTATAATTCATTGAAAAACTTTGATTTCTGATTCTAAATAAAAATCTGAGTATCTTACATGAGACAAGTTTCAGGTGCCAACTATTAATACGGGTCAGAGAGAGAGAGAAAAAGAGAGAAAGAAATCGAACGACTAAAACGAAGAATGCCGCAGCGTGATTCGTGAAGGTGCAATTGAATACACCTGGCATCCGTGCAAAAAAAAGGAAAGAAAGAAACATAAGAAGTCGATCGTAAGTCATTGACTTGGCGATTATTTTGACGGCTCTCGTGAGCGGCGCTCGTTTATAATACGTCTCGTAGCGAGCCTCGATGGGTCCGGTAATTATTGCAGCGATCAATTATGGCCTCTCGCGAAACCGCGCCGAGTCGGGACGCCTCGCGATTCGATGCACTCGATGCGCCCAGATGCTCGCGCAGGGCTGTATCGATTGTACCGTTTGTCGGCGGACTATACGATTAACGCGCGCACATTTTTCGTACATACATGTACACGAGACACACTGTCTCTTAGGCGACCTTATCTATCAGGAAACGCAAGATCGGTTCTCGTTCGTTGCATTAACATAATTTCCGTTTCTGCTCAGAAACAGGATTGTATCTCTGCGCTAAAAAGATATGTGAAAATTAAGAGAAAATATAATCTTATTCTTGGCAAAATCCTCATATATATATAGCCTCAACAGGATTTTTCTATGACCAAAAAAAACTCTCTTGACACCTAAAAAAGAACTCTACTTGCAAGATGCTATTCTCTGTAAACCTATATTCTAAGCAAATATTTTTACCCAAAAAACATCCCTTTTCGAATGAAGGGCGACAATATCGTGCTTAGAATACCTGTTTTTTCTTGATTTTAGGACAATTCTCTTGAGGCCATATATAAGAGAATTCCGTTAAGAATGAATTATATTTTTTGAGGATGATTCTATTCCTTGGAATTTCAAGTTGACTTACTCCCACGTGATGAAAAGCCGAGAACCGCAACGTCCTTTCGATCGACTGCGTCCTATCAAGTTATATCCTGGTCGCAACGAGCCAGGGCTGATTACCGCCCATCCCTAAATGTGCGTCAGCGATAACGATTATCGCGCGCTATTTATAGAACGACCTGCTAGCTCCTTGATAACGCTCGTCTTCAACCCCCGCATCTTTCCGCGTCGCTAATCGGGCACTTTCGAATTTCTCAATGGATACGGGTGTACACGCACTCGCGCACGCGAGCTTTGTCGCGTGGCCGGGCCGAGAGATTCGTGCCGCGACTTTCTACGAATTGCGTAAATTCCGTCGGGATCTCGCGAGCGACGTTACTCAGCGAGTTAAATAGCGTGTCTGAAACGCCAGTCGAGCGAACAACACAAACCATAGAGTCAAGAGATTTCCCAGATATCGTAAAAAATCACTTTTATGTCACATATTTTATAAGCCTTATCTGCAGGTATGATAGATATATATATGATAGAAAAACGATATAACGATAAAGACACTTTCGTTAAGAGCTATAGAATCGCACCATTAGGCTTTTGCTTCTCTCTGAATTTCCGCAAATGCATATTTGTTGAGAATGAAAACAGTGGATCTTATCCTGAACTTTCTTTCGTCGATAAAAGAGAAAGAATTTAGAGTAAGGTTCTAAATCTCTCCATTTTCGACAAAAATGTGCATTTGAGAAAATATAGATCCGTATTAACAGTTATTATTTGAAACTCATTTTAAGTGTGATACATTTGAATTCAAAGTTTAATGAGAATTTTCTTGTTGTATATCGCACGATTATAAGTATAAATATCACACATATCATAATTCAACTGACAAACTTGGATCTAACTTTGAAAAAGATCTGAGTATCTCACAAGATAAGTCTCAAGTGATAATTATTAGTATATATCTTAAAGGAAAGGAAGCCCTAATGGCGAATCGATCCTTCTTTTCCCTTTCGTTTTTCGTTCTGGGCGTTTCCTCGGCATTTCATTATCGACGATCGTCATCGTCTCATTTCCTGCCATGGCGTCATCGAGAATGCATACGTGAACTGGTCGATCGTGTGAAAAACTACGTCTCGCGAACGCGAAGAAATTACACCGTCGATTGAGCGCACGAGTTCAACCGATCGATCGATCGGTCGATTAATCTCGGCGCGACCTCTAAGCAATATGGCGCGCGAAGTGGCTCGGAATCGTCTTGATGAGCCCTTTGACATCATCACTCTCTCGGGTGAGAAGGAACGAAAGAAATGTCGAGAGGAAATGCATGGTCTCCTTGGAGTTGGTTCGATTTCCTCAGATGACGGTAACTATTTCAATTTCGAGCAGTCGCGAATTCGGGAGACTCAATAACCTAACTTTATATTCTTTTCGTGTCCTGCCTTTTATCCCGCTTGATCGGGAATCAATAGAAACGTGAAAGTTTCGGTGGACGTCGTTGTCCCGGCGTCGTGTATTCTCGACGATCGTCGCGAGGTGAAACTCGATTTCCCTCGCGGGAAAGTTCGAAGTTCGCCTGCTCAATAATTTATCGAGTTGATGCCAACTCACACGCGACCGGGTCTCTCTCTCTCTCTCTCTCTCTCTCTCTCTCTCTCTCTCTCTCTCTCTCTCT